AGCATTCAACAAGCAAAAAGGTATCATTACGACGTTCAAACACCACAAGAACCCATTACAACTCTATTATTATGACCTTTGTGTTTGTCGCTTTTCTTCATATTTGCCGATTGGACTATTATCTGACCCATAAATTATTTTCTTCCTTACCCCTTGATTAGTACGTAACCTCATTTGTTCGTGGTATTCATATGTTGACTTCAAAATTTACCAATATAGTCAGTACACAGTGGCACTGAGTTACCTATAAATTCAATTTCAGAATTTAGATTTTAATATGGATGTTGATTGATGTCGCATTTTAATCGTGATTAAAATGAGTGTTAGGTCGTTTATTTTCTTGTTGAGCATAGCACATTCAGTAAAATCAACATATTGAGACAAGCTGTAGAAGTTTAGTTCACACGATGATTTCAAACACACGAATTCCGTCATACCGAATATTCCCTTAAATGCGAATCACAATCAAGGTGTTTGTTATGACCTTGATGTCTGGCTTTCTGTCACGCGACTTATCGACCAGTCAGAATACGACTTATACAATTTCGCACTATGCCAAACCAATGACGTTCAACCGGTATGAGCAGTTTAGCGTCTTGATTGGTCCTATGTCCTCCTAACCCTTCCACTTGAGTCCAGAACACAATACCAGTTTCTGTAATATGAATCGAATCGAATCGAATCGTTTATTTCAGACATACTCGGTTTATATATCAATCAGACAGACCACAACGTGCCATAAAATAGAAAATAACATGTATACACAAATAAGCCCAAAAGTGGCTGTGAACGAGGGGGACAGTAATTAATAGACTGAGCATAGCTTAAGAATCGTAAATCGTACAATAATAAAATATAGGTCAAAATAAAGCTTATAATAAGAGGAATATAAATATACATAATCTAATTATTCAATAGTTTTACAATAAGAATATTTATAGAATATTAGTCCATTAATAGGCCTCGGGAGTTACTTGTAATTTAATCTTCACCGGGATATAAGTGTTAGATGTCTCCAGGTGAGATGTTCTATGAAGAGTCACCATTACTTCAAATGAGTTACAAATGTTTAGCATTAAGAAAAGTAAGCAAATAATGGTTGCTATACTAAAAAGGCTTATGTACTGACGAAATGACTTAAAATTCTATTATTATCTGTTGGGGAGATCCAGAAAACTTCTCAAAATTAAGCCAAGAAAGGCTCTAAAAACACTGAGCAGTATCATATCCAATCAGCGTTCACTAGACGTTTTGCCAGAAACATCTAGAACGTGAGACGTCACATGTCGAGTTTCTGATTGGACGATTACTCATACTGCTACTATGTTCAGTAGCATTCCAGAATTTTCCGGAAACCCAAGGATATCTTGTGGAGATAGGTCTGACAAGCTTATTTTGTAAATAGTTTTTAATATTATTTGTATTTGTCAATTTCTCACCGCATGTAAATTTATCATTAAATGATTGTACCTGTTGTTTTAGTAAATGACCTTGAACACTTTTTCCGTTGTGATTCTAACATAGCGTGACATACCGTTGCTGGCTAACAAATACACTGCTTCTCTCACTTTCCTCGTTCTATTTTCATTCGAGATTGAGTTAACTGAGATCTAAAAGAAATATTATTTACATTCATAGATTGTGAGAGCGAATACACCATACCTTACTTTGGATTACAGCACTGGGGAGTTCATCGATACGTTTGGAATTACCAAGCATCTATAATTGTGGATTTATTGTACCAGATTAAAGCCGAACACGCATCATTTTGAGTGAACTTAAGTAAAGTCCCATTTTTATTGTATTTGTAACATTTAACTGATATATATTAATATTACTATTGCTTTTTATTAACTTTGTTGATACTTTTTGCGTTTATATATCGTCTGGTCCACCACAGTCTAAAATACTATAAAAACACTGGATTTTCTGTACATGAACGAACCTTTGGAGTTAGGCGTTTCTTCCAAATCTCGCGCCATTTCTCTCGTGTTCAAGTTGCTTTGTAGATCAAGCCTGGGTGTTACTAGAACAGCCTAAAAAGTGAATGTGGCGCTCAATTAGAAGAGTTACTACTATTGGATAGTCGGTCTGTTCTAGTGTGGTGTACTTCACTTATGTCGGCAGACGAGTTTTATGTAGCAACAATCAGAAGTTGAATGGCTGGCAACAGGAGACTGAGAACATCGAATTTAAGAAAACAGGAGGGGTAATATAAAGGAATTGTGAATTGGAAGAATCAGACAGAATGTAAAGGAAAATGGATGGAAGATTTGTGAACGAAGCATTTCTTGTATGGTCATCGTATTTTACAAAGATATTCTGTAAGTTTGTATTAAATAGTAAATTGGTTATCCCCACCTGAGTCTCGTCCACGACACTAGTATATAGTATTCGGTTTAGGCTTGTCTTCGTTCACTCATCAATTTAGCCATCCAAACACGAGTCTCATCATAGATTGAACATGGTCCCAAAGTGACGCTGTAAGTAGATAGTCCAGGATGTCAACTTTCCATACATCGCATGACAATACGGCCATGGTGTAAAATAAGAAAGTTATCGTAATAAATCTCTATCACTTCTACTCAGTTTAAATGGTATTTGTAATTTTTTAAACGGTAACACATAAAACGAAATTTATAAATCCCTCAACAAGTCATTACTCATGTAGAAAAAAATTTACACTGTCAGTTCGGTATAAAAACAAACTTAAAGTAGGAAACGTAACGGAAACAGAATTCTACATGTATGGGAGCTACAAGGTATTCGGATTCAAACCAAACACTTCTCAATGTTTGCTCTTTTATGATGATCGGTGAAGCTCGTTAATAACTAACCGCTTGACGATAACTATAGCAATACAACTCACAGCATCAGTTGGAATAATAGTAATGATGATTTGCTCAGTAGACCAGAAGTGTTCTAAGCGACCAGTTTACAAGACGTTAGGAGTGGTCATTCAATGTATAATATTACACATGTATTTAAATTATCCAAAAATACATAGATTAGACAGCCCAAAAAGCAACCTATTTCCTTTCAAAAAGCACTGCTCAGAATTAATTGACTTGGCAATTCAACGAGTTTCTCGATATCCTCCTTTACTGTCTTTCAGATTAAATATCTTATGGTTTCATGTTCTGTCACAATCAACACTGTTATTCCGACTGATTTGACATTCTTTATGGCTAGTTTCTCATCGTGATAATTCCAAATTGTGTGATTAATTGTTCAACCGTTCAACTGGTACATAATATGCAATCCAGATCAATTTCATAAATATCAGTGCTCAATCCATACTGTGGTTTAGGCAGATCAACTGCCCCTGTGTAGTTTCTGATAACTTAGTTATCGAATTGTTGATTCACACTCACTGATTGATCTCTAACAGTAAATCAGCATCTTATGCAAATGCTCTAATATTGTAAACGACTAATTTCCTTGTGTTAATAATAGTAATATTTAGTGGTAATGACTCGTCAAGCAACACACCTCTTCGCGTACCCCACAGCTGATTTCGCATTATTTACTAGTCTTGTTTATTCATTTGAACACTAATGAAAAATACTGATTGAACTGATAGATTCCAATATGCGGAAATAGGCAATAGATGAGCATGTAGTGTCAGCCATCATGTTAAGCCCATATACTTTATTCTAACTTTCGGACAGCCCAATCTATTCATTCTACTTGAGTCATATTTTGACCTTGTCAATTATTCGCTTATCAATCTTGACTGTTTTTTTATATGAGCGCATATCTGTGTACACTTCATATCCCATGTCTTATCACATGTTTGTAGTTTATTTTGTCTGCCTATAAATATTGAGTAACGCCTGGCTAAAAATGAGTTTGCTTACTAGCTATCTCCCCTGCGCGTCATTTTGCTTTGTTCTATTACATTCACTTTACATACAAAATATATGTATTCAAAGGCCATTCTCGTTAATTGACTTATCTAAATTCCGTTATTGACTAACGTGATTTAAGTTGATGATTGTATACGAGGATAGGTGATAACAAACATTCTTACAATCTAAATGGAGTCAGATCCACGGGCCACTAAAAACACTTGAATTTAGTGAAAGAACAAACTCCATCTTTTATTCCATTACGTGTCTATAAACTTCCATGTATGTGTTCTGTTTTTATCCCTTTGAATATGCACAGTTGAAAAAAAGGATGGAACTTTCTTCATACAAAAATTACATACATATGGCATTTCACAGCAGCATACCTTCTTGCTACTGGTCAATGCCGGGTGAAGTTCCATATGCAAATGTAAAACAAACAGGTAGAAACACACGAAAGTTTGAAAAACGTTTCTCATCTCAACTGATAATATTGAAAATGTTATTCTACTGATCATCAATATTTGGAAAGAAATAAAAAACAATAAAAATAGAAACAAATAGATTTCACAATACAAACAATTATTTAGTAAATAAAACAAGTCTACATAGACAAGCTATGAGGAAGATTTATAATAATAATAATAATAACAATAACGATAATAGTAATACAATATTTGTAATGGGTGGAGTTCAGTTGATTTTTCATTAACTTATTTATTGAGCATGTCTCGTCTTGGAATTTCTTTGTCTGTTGTCTATACAATAATTAGTGGATTGATCGGTTTACCGATTGATATGTACTTGGAGGTTGAGGGAAGACAGAAGTACTAATAATAACAATCATAGGTATTTTACAGTGACGTGTAAACGAGGTGAATGTCTGAGAAAGTGAACGAAAGAGAGGAAGGAAGGGTTATTCCAAAAATCAAAGAATCTTTTGCGTCTTTGTATCTGTGTGTGTGAGAGAGAGAGAAATAGCAATTGGAAGACAGAACTACGAGTGCATGATGGACAACATATAAACAGTTTGCACAACCATGATGAATTTCCAGCAAACACGTTCACTGTGTTGTTTACATTTTTGTGAGAGAAATACAAGGCGGTTGAAAGGAATACCTCAGTAATAATAATAATAGTGATATTGTATCAGGAAATTCTATTCTGTTGTAAATAATTCATTAAATCCATATAATCTCGATGTATCCCATAAGGATGTAGGTGATACAGCATATATTCATAGAGATACATCTCTTCAGGTCTAATATAATGAAATGAGACAGCATAATCACTGCAACAATCGAATCCCTGATTTCAATCAAATGGGGAGAATAAAAGTCAATGTAATGATGATGACGATAATAATAACAATAATATAACAATAATGTGGGGAGATACAGGTACAATTTGAGGTCAGTAAAGTCTGTTGAGTAACTGCACACTGAATAATAAATAGGTCAACAGAACATGATTATGCGACAATAATCTTACAATCACGAGCAACCCTCTCTAAACATTTCTACGCTACATGTGCACCTCTCATCTAGTATATCCTTGATTGTGATAGCGTTACAACAAACACAGTTAACATTGAGCTCCAAAAGCATGTCGCGATGTTTCCTTTTAAAACTGTTGTTTTTACTTCAGAGTTATATTATTAATGTGTTTAATTTACTCAACCCCCTTCCACAAGCACCACATAAATGTATCTTCTTTAACACTACTCATTTACGTAACTGTTAACTAATATTTGTGACGTGAAATTTCGTGCCAAACTTCAATGTCGCCATCTCAAACCTCAGTGAATCAGTTATCAGACCATCTCTGTTACAAATTAGTGAGAGTGTAGGGAATTTTTCAAAAAGTGATCTTTAACGATATTACACTCATTATTCTCGACTTCTGTTATTTCTTCGTTTGGTTTCTGTTGTCACCACCAAACAGTACGTTACAATACGTTATCCATCTACTCGTCTACCTTCTGTGTTACATAATACTACTCAGATAAATCCATCTAAAATATATATATATATAATGGGGACAACGTTGAAATTTGAATTATCATAATATCATTTTAGTATCTGAAGTATTCAGTAGCATTCATGACATAATGTGTGATAATGTTATGTATGGTAGGGGAAGAAGAATAGTCATTGCTTTCAGAAACTAGTGTTTTGTCTGATTCTCACTCATTTGTATAGTTTAATATAGACTTGAGTGAGCATTGGAAATTATCCTGTACATAATTGATGCTGAAACTCTTGTTACATTTTCGCCAACCATAACCCTTTCCGTGGATAGCATATTTAAGTGTAGATATGTTTATTAGTAAAACTCACTGTATCTATTCTGTGGTAATTGTACTTTAGGTACCATTCTGGGTAGCCGTTTGTGTCTTTTGTAAGCATATGTGATGGAGAGAACGGATGAAAGCATTCACGTCCTTCTGCATCTAGACTATCAATTACTGAAACATTTGTAGCTTCAGCACAAGATCCTGTAATCAATGGAGGGAAAAGAAGATGTATCGAATAAGATTAGCATTGAATTGTTTCTTTTATTGTTCTCGAATTTGCAGTATTTCAAAACACATAAAATGAAGTCAACGAATAATAGTCTTTCCAGTAAGTTCTAATCAGGTTCTACGCTTTTTGGGTGGTCCAGAAAACTCGTAAAAGCCAGGAAATGCTCAGGAAACACTAAGTAGCATTTCATCCAATCACTGTTCACTAGAAGTTCCTTCACGTCAATGCAGTCGAGAGAAACGTTTTACAAGGTACCAGCACGCAGAATTATCGTAATGACAGCAACAAACCATCATCCTCACACTGGTTATGTGGCGTTTGGCGTTCTAAAAGGTTTTGCCCTTCTAGAAATCATCGATGTACTATGTGTTCTAGAAAAGGGCACAAAGTAAGTCATTGCAAAACCTGGAAACGCCGTTAACAGACAGTGTGTTCTAAAAGATTCAAGCCACGAACAGCTAAAGTAACGGTGGCTCTTCACAAAGCCAGCTCACATAATCGTAGAAAGTATGTTTGTCTCAAGATTAGTGGGTATGATGCCCGCTTACAGTTAGACACAGTCTCCGATATAACACTTATAAGCAGGAGAACGTGGGAGAAAAATATTGGGAGACCGCGAATATATTCAATTCATCAACCAGCACAAAGTGCATCCGGGGGAATTCTAAACATTTTTTGTGAGATTCATTGCGAAGTCACAGTCAAATAGTTTACGGAGAAGGGAGTAATATTTTTGACAGAACGTCCACCACTCGACTTATTGGGGCTTGACTGGATAGAAATGTTGAAGTTTTAAAACCGTCCCATAAACTCAATCTGTAACAACGTCAGTACGTCGAAAGTTGAAGAGAAAAACTCAGTGGAAGCATTATTAAAACGACATAAAATGGTATTTAGTGATGGTCTTGAAGAATGCAGTAAATTTAAAGCTGCTCTTACCCTTCGAAATGAATCAAAACCAGTGTTTTGACCTAAGAGACCTGTACCATATGCTGCCTTCCCACTGGATGAACAAGAGCCACAACGACTTCAGAAATTCGGTGTCATTGAACAAGTGAATTTCTCAGAATATTGGTAGTAAAGAAAACTACTGGCAGCGTCTGTTTATATGGCGATTACTCAACTGGGCGAAATAAAGCCCTAGAAACTCATCAGTATCCCTTACCCCTACCTGAAGATCTTTTTGCTAAACTGAATGGAGGTAAGCTCTCTGCAAAGTTGGACTTATCAGAAGCTTATTTTCAAATTCCTTTTGCTAATGAGTGTAAAAATCTGCTCACCGAAAACACACACAAGGGTCTATTCCGGCATAATCGACTACCCTTCGGAGTCAAGACTTCCACATCTATATTTCATCAAGCAATGGATAATATGCTACAGGATGTTCCAGGTGTTGCAGCTCATCTGTATGATGTAATAATTATGAGAGTAGATAGAATAGACTTGGAAAAGAAGCTCGACCAGGTGCTGTCACGATTAGTCGAATATGGAATTTGACTCCGTGTGGAGAAATGTAACTATTGCATGCAAAATGTACGCCTCCCTGGATTTGTAATCGACAAAGATGACAAAAGACCAGATCCAGAGAATACCTAGGCAGTGAAAATTATGTCTGGACCGACGGGTGTCCTCACACTACGATTCTTTTTGGGACTAGTTAGTCATTATAGAACTTTTATTCCTAACCTTCATCACTTACGTGCCTCCTTAAATAACCTTCTGACGGAGAATGTAAAATGGGATCGGTCCGCAACTTGCCAAGCTGCTTTTGAGGAAGTCAAGAAAATACTATTCTCGGATCTGTTGCTCACCCATTACGATCCATCCTTACCCATCGTATTAGCATCAGATGCTTCAAACTAAGGGATTGGAGCAATTATGTTTGGTGATAGAATCGTTATTCCAAAAAACATTACACCACAAGGTTCTGAGACAATTCCGCTACAGTCATACCGGTATCAATAAGATGAAAGCGTTGGCTCGAAGCTATGCTTACTGGCCTACAATGGATGAAGATATCGAAACCAGATGCTGCAATTGTTCGTCGTGCCTGCAAACAGCTGAAAGTCCAAATAAATATGAACTACAACAATGGGAAAAACTTAAAAGTACTTGAGAGAGGCTGCACGCAGCTCTTGCCGGCCCAATACGAGGGAGAATTCTTCTAGTCATAGTGGACACACTCACAAAATAGCCACAAATCCGAACTGTTTAGCTACTTTGGAGTTCCGGAGACTTTAGTGACCGATAATGGCTCACAATCCACTGCAGAATCACTCAAGCACTTCTGCAACATTAATGGAATTGTGCATATGCGCTCTCCACTCTATCACCCTCAATCAAATGGACAGGTAGAGCACTTCGCGGACACATTTAAAAGAGCACTACTGAAAGGTAAGGGCAAAAGGTAGAAGTCAGGTAATTAAGAAATTCCTAGCACATTATAGAACTACGTCAAACCCCATTGTTCCAGATGGGAATTCCCTTGCTGAAGCAATGTTCGGGAGAAGAATCCGAACTATATTCAACGCCATGTTGCCACCTAAACCAATAGATGGACGCAGATAAAATCAGAATATCCGGAGTTTTAACGTGGGTGATATAGTGCTCGTCAAGTCATACATTGGGGAAAATCGTTGGCAACCGTGAGTCATTGAGAAGATAATAGGAAATGTTTTATACAAAGTACTTGGGACTTTCGGAACGTGGATTAGACACATTGATCAAATATACAGAGAAAACAGAACACTAAACACGGTATATAGTCGAGTGAGTCTTCTGGGAGAGATAATTACAGATGCTCCAATGGCAAGAACCTCAACAGACACTCATAGACGCTGGATACTAAGAAAATCCGAACGTCGCAGAAAACCAGTTATCAAGCTGCAAGTAGACCAGATAAAAAGTATCATTTTTCGAAAAAAGGGGAGGCGTTGAGGAGATACAGAAAATTCCTCGAAATTAAGCCAAAAAAGGCTCTGAAAACACTGAGAAGCATCATATCCAATCAGCGTTCACTAGACGTTTTGCCAGAAACATCTAGAACGTGAGACGTCACATGTCGAGTTTCTGATTGGATGATTACTCATACTGCTACTATGTTCGGTAGCATTCCAGAATTTTCCAGAAACCCAAGGATATCTAAAATAATATAAAAACACTGCATTTTCTGTACATAAACGAACCTCTTGAGTCAAGTACTTCTCGTTTGTTTTGCTTCTTTTCTCTCGTGTTCAGATCGCTGTGTAGTTCTAGCTTGAGAGTTACGAGAATAGCTTAGGAACCGAATATAGCGTTTAATTAACATGACTTATCATACGCTTATACATCGTGTAAATTATAGATGCAAAAGCAATGCATGGGATCTTACAGTGATAAGTAGAACAAAACAGAATTGTTAGTTGATAAATACATATCAACTATGTACTACCAACTCCAATTATTGTGTCAACTGTAATTGTCAGAATGATAATGAGAATAGATATAGATGTCATAGTGTAAGACAACCGATGGAAACCCAACTGGAAGCAAATAACTGTTGCGTTCCACTATAAAGCTACTCTATACTGAGCACCTAGACTTCATCCAAAAATCGAATTTAATGTCTTCAGGATTTCACAAACCGTTCAGACTAATCCAAATGCATTAGGCCGTTTCCATGTCATATTCAACGATATCAATTATTATTCAAATCAGTTGTTGCATAGTAATAATACAATCACGTCGCACGCAAAATTAGTATGTATACCTACCAAGTTTCACGTCTTCAGCGAATGCATGTTTATTACTTTGACAAATGGCATTATTTTCCAAACCATTAGCGATATTCAAAAGACCAGCTCGAGATAGCACATATCCTCCACCACCGGACATATATCCTTGTTTAACAAATGGCTATTTTGCAAAGAAGAAGAATGTGTAGGAAATAGAAGAATATCATGGATTAAGGAGAGTGAAAGTAACAATTTAGACGCATTATTTGTAATAACAAGTATTTGAATTTCTCAAATTCTTATACAAATTAAGGTAACACTGGGAACTATTTGGATGCTCTCTGATAGTAGAACAACTTTTCTTAACCTGAAACTATGATCTTTAGAAATTCACTTGAATTATTGACAGTTCCTGTCATGAAACGATTTGATATTCCCCGCCCCCTCCCCAACTTCAATTATCATGAAGATATTCTGTTTACATTTATGAAATAATTCCTCACTTAAGTAATAATACGCTGGGTAAGTAATCCGAGTAATCACAACATTCAGTTCTAATCATTGGTCAATCATATCCTATCTGTTAGGTAAATCAAAATCACTATAATCTTCGTTAATTATTGTGACCGAACACTGATGATTACTCCATTGATGAACGTGATATTTAACCGGAAATAGCCTTTTCGAACGGATATAACATAAGTGTCACCAAAATCACTTGGATCAGTACCAGGATGATGGAGTGTTTTTATCAAATACTAATTATTTTGTACATACCTAACCACACAATTCCGAATTCAATACAATTCAAATGTGTAGACTGTGTTCTCTGTGTTCAGTCCCGATCCATTCATCACTATTATACCACACACAAGTTAGATCTGGGAACTTGGATTACATTCGGTACTAACAGTGTTGCTACTATTACTACCATTACAGAATATCCTAACAAACCTAAAGAGGAAATAACAAAAAGAGAGAAGACGAAAATCTTAGCAAAGTGAACTGCTTCAACTGCAATAAAAATCACGATGGACAGAGTGGCTGCCTTCTTCTTCATCATCAACAACATTAGGTGTCTGAGAAGCACCATGAGTTATCTTCGCTTATACCTATGCATGTGGACAATTGTAGACACGGATTTGATTGAGAATATATTGAAATCTTGAGGAGAGAAAATACAAACAAAACTAGAGTTTTAAGTAAATCGGAGCAGGTCAAACAGCAATCAGTAAGCATATGTGTGTTAATTTGAACATCCCATTTCCCTACGAATTTTGTCAAGATGCTGTCCAGAAAGACCACAAAATCTTCAATATTGAACTACCCATCTGGGAGAACGCTAACCCACCTAAATTTGTTTGACATTTTACTGATTTGGCCACCACAGTCACTTTAACATACTATCGGTTGATTGTATTATCTTATCACGCAAATAAATCTTCTTGTCAAAAATCAACTACTCCATAGATATGGAGATGCACAACTCACCTTGAATCGTCTGCCCATGATAAATGGTTTATCGGGATTTTGTTTATGTAAAATTTTGCGCAGATTCTCTACAATCACATATGAATCATCATCCGCCTTCATGAAGTAATCGTAATCATTGGCATAATGTTTTGCCATGTATTTTATGGCTCCAGCTGTTTTATTCCACAATAAGTTGCGACCTTCAGCATTGATAACAGCTACAATTTACGAATACATTGATATATTCGGTGGTGATTGGAGTAACTAAACAGACAGATTCAATGACAATCATAAATGATAATAACCAACACGGGGAGACGGAGTTCATATGGGAAGGAACTTTCACTAACCTCTGGTGGACTTGGACTGAATGATGATAGGATTTATCTTTTTCTTAAAATTCAAACTTGGCTTAGAAGCCAGGTAATTCAGCCAATTATATACATATATATTTCGGCTCAAGTTGCCACATCACATTGGCTCAAATGTTAGGGAAAAACCAAGGGCAGTAGACATAGTAACAGTATCAGTGGTAACAAAGAAAATTAAAAATAGAAGATACGATTCGGGAAGGAAATATGAAATTATCAAAATGATTGAAAACTTCATGTGGAATTTGGGAACTTTGAATATAAGAGAAGACGAAGAATGAATGCATCTGAGTAATTGAGAACTTTGAGCATTGTTACTCAAAGTCTCCAACCATTGTTTACGATGATCACGCGGATTTCAACCAGGTTGTATGCACCTAACTACATGGATTGGTTCAACATTCAATGCCTTTGTGGACTGATGCCACGTTTTGTTTATTGTCCTCCCCTGACTTTTTCCCAAGCTACTAGTTGCACCAGCCATTATTACGCATCCAGTTAGTTGGTAGTTGGACATGTATAATGCATATCCCAACAATCTCAGTCGATAGATTCATTACCTCGTCAATCGACTTCCTATAGTTACCTGGTGCTGTGCGTTCAACCTCAGAATTGTCAAATCGATGGTACAAAAATATATGAGCAATGATTTGAAGACATTGATGATCAAGACCTCGTAACCCAAGAATATCATTTATTATAAAAGGTATGTTTCTCACCCATCAAGTAGATCGGAGCGAAGTGTCGAGTAGTTGACAGACGTATATCTTGTGTGCGCCACAAGTGAAGCAAGTTGGTAAACGCCAACCGGCCTCTCTCCATCCGTGTCGAGATTCCGTCAAACACTAACCCACTAGTGTTGATGAGACTTTCAAGTGAAGTGAAGTGAAGTGGTCGACACAATCCACTATTTCACTCGCTATCGTCAAACTCAAGGTTGGCAGAAACCAGTCCTTAAGCAATATTTTGCGTTACGATGAAGTGATACGCATCACAAACACACTCGCACTGTTGATTGATTAAGGAGGTCAAGAGACCCTGAGTGTTGTCAAGGTATTCACCAAATAAAAATATTTCATCTAAGTATTCCGAGTCAACAAATGAATCTTCTGGTAGATCAATTTATCATAATTCACACGATGATATTATTATTATTATTATTATTATTATTATTATTATTATTATTATTATTATTATTATTATTATTATTATTATTATTATTATTATCTCAAGAAGAACGTCTACCAATAAGTTAAATGGAAATGGAGAAAGTGGACAACCTTGAAGAACACTACTTGGAGTCATCGATTCTCATTCTCTTTCGAAGCACCATGAAAATGTAGTTTTATTGCACATTCTGCACCAAAATAGAAAAATCATTCATTTTCGACATTTCTACAAATTACAAACTGGTTATCTTTATTCTGATTGCATTATCCTTACACTATACTTTAACATCAGATATATCTATTATGAAATCCCACACAAAAGCTCTTCCTGATGCCTAATTAACGTTTTGTTCAGTGAATATATTTTTATCTGCATCAGTGTTTTTATAGTTGAGTCCAGTCTTTGTTTGTATACAGTTGTCAAAATAGTACATTACATGCACAGCTACTTGAAAAATTCACTTGTGTTAAGATCTGTATAAGTCTCATGTAAATCGAAACACATTGGTAGTGTCGATTAAAATGTTTAATTTTTTTTTTGTAACTGAAAACAATACGACAATATTCATTCGTCCAATGAGCTTCGAACAATATTATCTGAGTACTCTCAGTGTACATACACACAGTGTATATTATGATGTCTAAGATAAATCATTATTTTAAGATAACACTAATGTAATGTTTCTCGTAAAGTCAGTTATATATTGCACAACAATCTTTTCCACGTAACACTATATATCCTGTACACTTATTTTCACCTCTGCCCAATATAATGAGATATTGTGATCAGGATAGTTGGTCATATTTTTACTGAGACAGTAACTGATCAATGGAGTTGTACAAAGATCGTATCATACCATAAACGCGACCAAATCAAATTAATCAAATGCTTGACACAAAGCATCTGGGTTTCATCTTTCACCAACAATGTATCCACGATATAATTTGATCTGGATAAAGGGTTATATAGTAGAACACTGATTACTACTGCGGTGTGTGCTACTTATATTGACATAAGTTAGTAGTGTACATGTTAGCCGTGAACAGAATGTCTGGCAGCAGAGAGACAAGAGGATCGAGCAGTAAAGAATGGAAACAGAATGCAATTTGTATCAAAATGCAAGGACAATGAAGTCTGAGTCATTTTGAGACAATCGGTGGATATTTTGTAAATAAAGCATTTACTTTATGATTGCTAGATTTTATTAACAAGTCCTGTAATCTTGTGTTGAATACATTAGATTGTCTCCACTGGCGTTCTTGTTCACTACACTAATACTACTACTACTACTACTACTACTACTACTACTACTACTACTACTACTACTACTACTACTACTACTACTACTACTACACTACTATACACTACTACTACTACTACTACTCTACTACTACTACAACTACTACTACTACTATACTACTAACTACTACTACTACTCTTACTACTACTAACTAACTACTACTACTACTACTACTACTACTACTACTACTACTACTACTACTACACTAACTACTACTACTACTACTACTACTACACTACTCACTGACTCTACACTACTACTACACTACACTTACTACTACTCTACTACACTAGCTGACATATACTACTTACTACTACTCTTGAATCTACAAATCTCGTGTTATACTGACCACATTACGAAGGTACCCGTTCACTTACACAACTTATGAAAAGAGTTAGTTACTTCACAGCTCACTACTACTACTACATACTGACACACTACTACTACACTACTACACACTCACTAGCTACACACCTACTGAACTACTACTACTACTACTACTTAACTCTATATACTATACACTACATACTCTCTAACTACTCTACTTGACTACTATACTACTACTGACTACATACTACTGACACTACTAGCCTAGCTACTACTACTACTACTACTACTACTACTACTATACACTACTCTACCTCTACTACTCACTACTACTACTACTACTAATCAGAACTTAGGTACTACTACTACTACTACTACTACTATACTACTACATACTACCTACTACTACTAGCTCTACTACTACTAACTACGTATATCTAACTACTGACTACTACTACCTACTCTAACTATACTACTACTAGCTACTACTATATACTACTACGTACTACTACTACTGGATCTATACTACGGTATACTACTGACTACTACTACACTACTGACTACTACACTAGCTAACTACTACTAACTGAGTTCTATTCCACTCTATGAGCTACCGATCAGATATTCCACTTTTTGGGATTTTACTTATATTGTACATGGATCATTTTCCGAAGTTCTTAAATTCGAACTACTCTGTCGGTACTGTCATTTCTCCTGTGTCATCTGCCATATCATTTGATTATGAAACTGTTTCATTACAAGTAATAAATATCATCAATCCTGGAAAACCGAAATTTCTCAAACATTTCTAATCCATTAATTCATAAATCAACACACTCTCTAGATGTAACCACAACATTACAACTCATCACAGAGTAAGGCAGTCTACTACTTCTACTACTACTACTACTACTACTACTACTACTACTACTACTACTACTACTACTACTACTACTACTACTACTACTACTACTACTACTACTACTACTGCTATTACTACTACTACTACTACTCACGGTGCGCTCACGAAATTTGTGTTGAACACGATCCACTAGTTCGAATTCTCTATCTTCCACGTCTATACATCAATGCCATCACTAAAATCATTCCTGTATAGATTCCATGTCGTATTTCGGTTAATGTCAATTCCAATAAACCTCATCACACTGTACTAACATGTGTAGTTAGCAAGCATGTTTCGGTTCCATTTGAAGACACACGCCATCACATCATAAATATTCCTCAAAATATTACTACTACTACGATTACTACCATTATTACTACCACTACTATACACTACTACACTCACTATACTACTGACTACTACTGAACTCTACTACTACTACATACTATATACTATAACACTACTGACTATACTACATAACCTACTACTCTCTATTAGCCAACCACTCTCACTAGCTAATATTTATTACTAGTAACTAGCTATACACTCTACTGACACTACACTACTCACTATACATATATGACTATACACTACACTACTACTACTACTACTACTACTACTACTACTACTACTACTACTACTACTACTACTACTACTACTACTACTACTACATACTACTCACTACTACTGACACTACTGACTACACTATACTACTACTACGTATACTACTACTACTACTCTACTACTACTACTACTACTTACACTACTATACTACTGAACTATCTACTACTACTACTACTAACTTACTAACTAACTAACTACTACTACTACTACTCACGATAATCTCTCTTGTTTCTTTGATACCACTGCCATTTTTATGCTGTATTCGTTCGCTGATTAAGAAATAGGTTAAGTGAATTCCTGAGGTTTCCGGTGAAACATACTAACTACTACTACTATACTACTACTACGTGGACGGTACTCTACTGAGCTACTACTGACTACTACTACTTACTACTACTACATACACTACCTCACTGACTACTACTACTACTACTACTACTACTACTACTTAACACTTACTACTACTACCTATACTACTACACTACACTACAGTGTGTATTGTTTCCAGCTTTTACGTTTCCAATTCACTTTCTGGATGAATTATGTGAGTATGAGTTTGAGAAAGTTCTCTATTTATTTGCTCCAACAGAGTCACTTAGGATAGATAGAGTAAAATGTGAAACGATGAGACAACTGAAGGGTCTGAATTCAGAGAGGTGCATAAATGTTTTCAACAGTGGAAAGTAATACAGGCCAAATGCGTTTCTACAAATGGGAACTATCTCGAAAATGGATAAGATTGATGTACGACAAACCATCCACTCAACTCGCCTACTTACTTAGTAAAGACACTGGTGACTGAAAAAAATGATTCACATTTATAACGACTCAGTTCGTTAATATTTAGCTAGAATTCGGAAACTACAGTCTGAATCATAGATGGATATTTCGAGTATTGCTTCAACTGAAAGCAATTTTTAGAATAATCATTGAAACCATTAATAACAACTGTGGTTTCCCACTTCAAATCAAAACCAATACACTTACCTAAATGTTGTAATGCATGTTCGTGTATTGAATCGTTCGAAAGACCTGTAATTTTCAGGGGAACACGATAAAGAAATCGATAGTCATTTTAAGTTAAATCTAACCTACTCAACTGTTTATATGTATTATCGTTTGCTGTCAATTTCGGTGACTTGGCTGCAGACAGTGCTGCTGTATACAAATCCTCTTCATGTTGTACATAGTAGAGGTGGACAATTAGTCCTCCACCAAACATACCGATCGTGTATATAAGAAGCATACGAAAGAATGGTGATAATTGCATAAAGACTCGAAATTCCTAAGATCAAAATAAGAGAGCTAGTACCAACTAACAGAATTTACTTTTGAATACAATTCCAATCAGAGAATTGTTATGGAAGCATCATAATCATATCACTGTTTCATCTGATGTAACAAATAAGTGGTAAACTTTATTCGTGTTTATGTTTGTATGCCTGAGTACCATGTGGTTCAGTAAATTCCTAAACGTCCTTTTCAATGTCATACTTGTTTACTACAATACCATTTAATTGGATCCATTCGACTTTGGTGAATAGAGGAGTTTGATTTTGTGTATTTTCCATGGGGAATTTACTACAACGATTTCACCGTTATTGTGTAGACGTATGAGGATTAATAGACCAAATTCAGAACAGAATGTGTCCACATATATACATTTGATTGCAACATTGATTGATATCAATATGAATCTCTGAGTTAGTATAAATTTTTGACGAAATCGTGTTCACATATAATCGACGATTGTTAGTCAACTTCAACATTCGGTTCAAATTGAATCTCTCGACTCCAAGTTGGACTACTACTACTACTACTACTACTACTACTACTACTACTACTACTACTACTACTACTACTACTACTACTACGACTACTACTACTACTACTACTACTACTACTACTACTACTACTACTATACTACTACTAGTACTCCTTTGACCTCTGCCTTTCTCCAAATGCATCTCGCCAACAAATTTCAATAATAATATCTAATAGACCAGATGATTTTAACACCATTCTTGAAGCGTAGGATCGAGATGTAGTTTGGCAATTCCCAAACGAATGCAAAACCTTTTTCTAATGCTTTCTGAATTATCTATGTTTCACCTCACTGATGTCATATCGTGACGTAAACCAAGTTGAAACTAAACATATTGACATAATGAACTCAATTAAGTAATCATTATGTCTCCATCAATGATTAGTTTTAAATGGATTCCATATATCCTATACAAACTCTATTGTGTGGGGTCGTGATCGTTCAGTTGTGCTGTATATATATATAATTTAACTATTGTAAAAAAATACAACTGAAATAATCACTTAGTCAATAAAATAGGGATCATCGAAGTAAATTGTATTAAATTCCGAATGAATGATTAGCTGGGGATTTTAGTTTGGTTTTTTATAAACCAATGGTCTGATGTATCTACTTCCTCTTCAATAAACGGCTTCCCTAACTTTTAAATTTCTAATCATGACTTGATTCGTCCCATGTTCAATCGAATTATGATTAACATGAGTTAAGAGATACACAGTTGATTCAGTGGTGATTATCAGATTGGATAATTCAAGTATTTGTATTAATCAGGCAAATTGAATGTAGTACTACTACTACTACTACTACTACTACTACTACTACTACTACTACTACTACTACTACTACTACTACTACTACTACGACTACTACTACTACTACTACTACTACTACTACTACTACTACTACTACTACTACTACTACTATTACTAGCAATACTACTACTACTACTTTCAGTTACTAATGTTTACCAAGGTACTGGATAGTTTTATATCCAAAATGAATGTAGGTATCTCAAAAAAGTGTATGAGAAGTTTACTATGAAAAAATAATTAAAACATTCAGCAGACTATATTTTCAATTTCATTGTTTCTTCTGTCAAGCGTTCTTTAATGGTTGCTCATTTGTATAGGAGGAAGTTAGCTTGTGACTAAAGTCTACTAAGTAAGGTCTCAATCATGTTTAATCTTTGGACGCCCTATACTTTTGCACAATAATTCACTAGTTAGTAGCAACCGTTGTCATGTCGATTCGTTGGCGCTAATTAAATTCCATTCAACACATTTCAAGAGCGAAAATAGGGATAAAACATACTTTCCAGTAGGTCCATAAATTCCTTAGTTTGATTCTCGGAATATCAGTTATAGTTTTAGATTACTCGGTAAAAAAGCGGAGAGAGTATCATTTATGGACAAACCAATCAGGTACAAGATAACGAGTCATGAGTTTTGGCGCGAAATTCATGCATTCTTTTGGCTAAATAGAGTTTATGTCAGTTCGTGATGAAAACTTTAGATCTAATTTTCAACCCTAACCATCAACTGTAAATGTTAATTCTACCTGCTTTATAATCTTCATTTCGTACTAATCAGTAGGTTTCGACTTTTTTTGTAGTTCTAACTTTCATTTTATTTACTTTCTCCATCCGGTATGATGAGATGCGGTATGAAGCCGTTTTTTCACAAGATGTATGTAAATATTTTTTAATTATTAAAATGAAAGCCTTAGTGTTAATTACTAAATGAACGGAAAAATGCTCAGAGGTACCAGATATGGTACTTTTATTAAATGTTCAAAAAGAATGAATAACCCCACACGCAAAGACCTGAGAACCATACGAATGAAATTCATAATCATGTTAAGCAATCGTTATGACTATAAATTTTATTATCTAATATATCATCAATAACATGAATTGGTGAAGAGTTTACTATAAAAAATGGATAAAGAAGAATAAAATTGTGGAGATAGGCATGACAAACTTATTTTGTAATGTTTTGTTTATTTTTTTGTCTGTTAATTTTCACACTTTGTACATTTATCACAAAATGATTCTAAAGGTTGTTTGAGTGTATGACCTTGAACTCACGCTCTTCCGTTCTAAATGGTTCATAGCATGACATACGTTGTTAACTGCTTGTAAATAGACTACTATACACACGTCTCTCTTTCTCGATAATGGAACTCTGAAATATCTATTAACTACATTTATAGACTGCAGCTATATTTCCATTATATTCTACATCTGGCTATATTACTGAAATCATAACAACCTTATTGGAATTATCAATTTTCTATAAATGTGAATTATGGTACCAAATTCAAGTGGAACACGCCAAAGCCTGCTGATTTAAGTAACGTCTCATAATTTGTCTTTGTATTTATAAATTATAATTGATATATTATAACATTAACTTCTGGACGTAATAACTTTATTGTCATTTCTGAGTTAATATAGTTTTTAGTCCACCACAGACTCGTTAAATTATGCCTTAGGTAGAATATACTGAAGCAGAAAGTAATTGATGTAATTTTGCTCTGATAGCACGATACTGTCACGATTCTGTTTCTTATCACCACCAAACGATTTAAGCACTAATATAGGTTTTTTGTATCAAGATTTTCAATAGGATGGGTGGTATCTGGCGTTAAGCTTTGCATTTTGTTAAAAAAGTACTAAGCATCTCTGTATTGATCCTGGTTTTCTGGGTAGTATAACACCATTTTATCATTTACTCATGACTTTCATATATGAGATTTTGATATATGTGATCAGTCATCATAGTGAGATATGTTGCGGATAGATTAGGTGGTCTGTGTCACGGATTATCATCATTTGTGATATTACTAATAACTAGAAAGTACTGGACAGCGTTAGGTCGGAAATTCTAAACAGTACGTACCAACGAATCTACTAGCGATCGAACCAAAGTATTCAGACTTCAGAATGAGCACGTTATCTTTATATTACTGAATTGCAATTAAATGATTCATGTCTTTAACCTCCGTCCACACTGTTAACAACTACCTCATTTTCGGTGATGGGACTGGGCGATTGTCACGTTATATATAAAACTAATTAGAGATGAAAATGGGAATCATTTGAGTCCAGACGTACTATTTAAATATTTCATAATTTCCACTAGATCTGGATTGTTTGTTTAATTTTTTTGTTAGATCATACATGAACACAAATTCCCAACCAAGACATTTATGCGTGAGACCGAAGGTCAACAGTTTGGTTCTCCAGAGCGGGGTCGGGGTTCATGATTTCTGTGAAAGTCACCAATCTCAACAATCCTTTACAGACAAATGTTCGAATGTTTAAACATTCACCGATATTATGCCACTAGTCTACATACAGTCGATAGTATTTACAAAATATTTGCGTCAATACGTGTATAATTCCGAAAGTGACGTTCATTGTTAACCACTCAAGGAAAAGTATCATTGATTTTATTTAATCTGTTATTATTTCAGTATTTTTCGACTTTAAAGGATCCTTTATATTGAGATGGTGGAGAAGATTTGTAGCTCAGGTGGATGATTTTGGTGGTGTTTTGTTCTCTGAGCTGGATGGTTTGGTCGTGGAGCTTTCATCGTTCTTCTGAACGACATCATCAGCACTTTGTGCTGATGAAAATATCTATTGTGTATTTGACTTTGAATCGGTATTTCACATTGAAAGTTACAAATACGTTAACCTGATTAAGCATAGTTACCTCGTAAATAAAAATTAGAATCATTCTATGTATAATAATCAATGTTATTTACCAATGGAAATGTTCAGTAATCTTTTTATATTTAAATACGTGTTTACAAAAGATAGAAACTTCGACAATATAAACTTACAGCTAAAATCATCCGAATTATACGACTCATTCTAAGTTTTCTGTGACTTATTATTATATGTAACTAACATTATTTATCTATATATATATATAAACCTTTCACTGAGTTAATGATTGGTCATCAATCTGATTTTATTGATAGGACCGTAACTCTATATAACTTACCTAAGTAACATTAATTAGGTCAAATAAATAATTTGGTGAATATAATAAGATGATTAGAATGTTTTTGTTATAATAATTAAAGGTCAGAGAGGTGTAAAAATCAATATGGTGATATGATAAATAATTTGCTAATAACTGAAAAATATGTATCATTTTAAGTAACAATATTATTCAATCAAAATAAATTCTACAACAATAACTGCTACTACTATTATTATTATTATTACTACTGTGATGCGTGCTACTTATATTGATAAAAGTAGTATATGACGCAAGTCAGGATTGCAATATCTGGCAGCAGAAGATGAGGGAAGATCAAGAAAGCAAGAGCAGGAATAGAATGCAATTTGTATGAAAATGCAAGGACAATGAAATCTGAGGCTTTTTGAAACAATTGGTGGACATTTT